GGGCTAACAACACACAGATGAGGAGGATTAGACAATCACTGAGGAGGGAAACACAGAAGCAGAGACAGGTGAGAGCTGTTCACATTCATTCAAACCACACATTTATATTTATGTGTTGGCTTCAAAGTAGCTGAAAATGCAGTCGTTAAATACTGTATTTATGAACAGTTTTTGTTTTACTTTGACGTATCTTTGCTAATTCACAGCACAGGTCAAATGTTACACTGTTGTCATGCAGCAAAGCTGTGTCCACCCAAAACTAAACATTGCTGACTCATCCTCCACTGCTGGTTTTTCTGCACTCAGTTCATCCTGTTCATCTTCTTCTAGCCAGCAAACAAATGCATTACTGCCACCTATGGGGCTGGAGTACAAAGTGTGTTGTAATTAACTGCATGATTTTTTTTAGGGCACATTTTATTTTTTATTTTCCTGCTATTATTTCCTGATATTAACACATTTTAAGTCCAAGTTCAAAATATTTAATTACATATATATCTGATATTTGACCACAGTCAAACGCAGCTCTCTGTACTGTACACAGGTACTGAAGTGACCGTCATTCAAGCCAGTGTCGCTGCTCTTTTCCCTTTCTTACATTTCAGTTGAGTGTAGATTCAAACCACTCTCAGCCTGAGCCACAGCTGAGACCTTGACTGTTACAAAGTGAATCAATAGCCCTTTTTGGTGAAGCCAATCTGTAATTACTGAGTGAGAAATACCATTTGATGGGGCGAAGAAAAAAGAAAAAAAGGGACCAACGGTAATTAGAAAATCCAAAATTCGCAAAGCATTCTGGGATTGTCTGAGCGGGGATTGACTGACTGTTTCAGGATGCTCCGACTTTGAAAACACCTCATGCAGCACGAGTGGAGGAAGAGCCGCGAGTTTAATCCTTCCTGCGAAGTGCTTCATCAACCTTCAGCATTTTTTTTTTTTTGACACGACAGAAGTTTCAGCATGTATGATTAATAAGATACAAATGTGCAACTGATATTTGATAAATGACTGGGGTTTCATATTCATGATGTACAATGAATATGCAGCACCAGGGGCTTAGGCCTACTTGATTGATCAAATGTATTCCATTCATCACTTTTTTTTTTTTTTTTTTTGCTTAATTAGCATATTTAAAGCAACACCATTAAGAGAGCAGCACTATGGGCTATTTGGAAGATATGATGTATGTTGGGGAGCAGACACACATGTATTCCTCTTTGTCTTGTAGAGCTCACGGTCTCCAGGCGTGGAATTCATTAGAAAGCACATTTTATTCTGTATTATTATGAGGAGAAAAAAACAAAAAAACAACAAACGCTGCAGCGTTGGGTTCAGACATTTTTCAGCAGTTCTGCAGCATCTGTGCCGACACGTTGGTAAATAATGTCAGTCTTTCTACATCACTACCGTGCGGAGACGGAGACAATGAGGTGCCGTGATGTGTCTGAGAGAGGGAACAGGGAGATGAACTGTAATGTCTTCTGCGAGACGTTTGGCAGAGGGACGTAATAACCTGAGGACTTGGAGAATAAATGGGAGGAAGGGGAGGGAGGATGTGGGTCATTATGGCTATACGTTCTACAGCCCTTCATTAAACACGTGAGCTCGCCATTACGCCGCTGCTCTGTGATGAACATTTGAACCTCCTCTTGCTCCTCCCTCCCCCTCCTCCTCCCCCTCCCCCTCCTGAATCCCCCTCCGTCAGATTACAGGCCAGATGATGCAGAGAATCCGTGCTCGTCTGACACACGGCGGAGCAAAGTCAGGCGCAGTATAAATGTTTTGTGTGTATCCATGCGGGCGGATTCTGCCGCACATTCGTGCCATTAAGGCACATCAGCATCAGGGGCACGTGCACGGGTGCAGGCGAGGGGCAAACGAACACTTATCATTATTTGATGACGTGTTTAAAGACAAATTGACGGAGGGTTTGAAAACCAGAGTTTTGGTTTGGTTTCACTGCCTCTGCAATGTAAGGGTACTTAAGTACCGGTACTACTACTACTACTACTACTACACTGCTGTATATTTACTGCTATATTTAATGGATTTCTGAACAATTACACCAATACAATCAATTATTTTTAAAAAATGGTCGAGATCAATGATTAGATTAAATGGTTTACCTAAGGTTCCTCGAAGTACCATTTTTTACCAATCAATCAAGTATATTTGTGTACTGGCCGATTCAGAGTACCACCACTGATACCTCCTTAGGTTGTGTCTCAGAGAAGACATGAAAACGCTGACAGACATTTTTATCTTCGTCTCATTAACTACAGTGGAACCTCGAGATACGAGCGCCTTGATATATAAGAGTATGACGAGATACGATCAAGCCTTCGAGTAAATTTTTGCTTCAAGATACGAGTAAAGATTTGAGATACAAGCACACTTACACTTTTTTATTTAAAAAAAAATCAAGAAAAAAACATTTTATTTTCAGCATAGCCAGCTGAACAGAAAGTGAGCGGAGCTTTTGTACCAGTAGCGCATTTCAGTTGAAAACAAACAGCTGTTGTTAAACTGTTTGTTGTAGTTTGGTAATCTCCAGCTAGGACACACGAGAACGTCACTGTTTTACTTACGATGCGCTTATCGATACTTGGAGATCGCCTGTAGATTCAAATCCTCAGATCTTTTGACTCAAAATGTTTCTTTAACCCTTGTCCTGATATATATTTGTTTGCAGGAGTTTAATTTTTATTTGATTTTTAGCATGAATTTATGTTATTGTTTTGATTCAAACAAACATTTTAGTCTTGTTTACGACAGTGACATTGAAACCAGGTCTTTGAGGACGTGTGTGTGTGTGTGTGTGTGTAATTGCATAAAAATCTGTCTCCGATCTGTGATTAGCCGCGACGTGTGAGACATACGTGTGATTAACTACATTTGTACGCAAACATCCAAAACTGGATTAGTACAACATAAAGCTTCAAAGGAAGTGTGGCTCCGTTGACTTCATTAGCTGAGACGTGTCACATGACGTAAATCAGTGTTTTAATAACTCATGCACTCATTGTGGAGATGGTTATGAAGCAGGAACACACTTCCATTTCCACCTGCCGTATTTCACACACCCTCAGATGACGACTGCCAGATTGGATTTACACGAACTTCCCCCAATGTTTCCACGGCGACATAACATCCCAGCGTACTAACAAACAGTCGCAGGCTGACTTTGACGTATTGGTGCAAATTACGATCAGAGACGCTCATACCCGTCTGTGATTGCACTGATGAGCCTTAGCTTTGCCCAACAGTCGGATTTGCATTGGAATGTGCTGAATCTTCAGATTGTACTACAGTAATACAGTACTACAGTACTACAGTATATGCTCTGCATAATGCTGGGGGTGTGGGAGCAGCAGGACCGGTGCGGGTGAAAAGACGCCAAAACAGAGACTAAATGCTCCATAAAAATGTGCAGGCCGCGTCTCAACTGTTTTTCGTGCCGCAGCTAAAGGACAACCCTGGCTCCACTTTAGACGAAGTCGCTTCCTCTAAGACATAACGGCCCTACAGACGAATCAGAGAGTCGTCGACGGAGAAAGGCGCTAAATAATTTATTGCTTTAATCTGCTCACTGAGGTGTGTGGTCTTTGACAGTAATTATAAATGCAGGCAGAAATTATAGCGGAATACTTTAACTGCATTAAGAGTCATCTGATGAACAATGTGATTGCCTGCTCATTCCCAACAATAGGGGGCAAGTTGGTGTCACAGCATTCAAATCAGCACAGTGCCCGTGTGCCTTCTCTCTTTCCTTTTTTTTTCTTCCCCATTTACCGTCAAATGTCACTCGCCTGTTGTAAAATAGGGATTTGATGGGTGGAGGTAATTGAGGACTTGATTGCTTGAAAAGAGATGAATTGCATAAAATGTTTATGAATTTAGAAGGCAATTATTTTTAATAGCCTTGAAATAATAGAGCTGGAGGAAATATGTTTAATTGTTATGATACCATCTTGCAGCAGCAGCAGCAGCAGCAGCAGCAGCAGCAGCAGCAGCAGCGGCGTTCGCAGGAAAGCAATAAAAAAAACTGACAGGGAGACGTAGCTGTGAGGTGTAGCCAAGAGTCATGTGGCTGGAGAACTGTATGTACTGTACTGTACTTCATGTAGTACTGCTGTGTTCATACACACTGGGACGTGTGTTGACAATTGTTCATTTTCATCAAAAGGAGTCGACGTCCTGATGGTAAATGTGATTTTTCTGACAATACCTGTCTGTAACAAATGTTTTGTTATTGTTTATTACAGTGAGTATAAACTGTTGACCCGCGGGCAGAATCCGGTCCACAAAAAGTCCAATCTGGAACAACAAGTGAGTGACATGATGGAAACTTTTTATTTAAATTATTTGAATAATTCAGGAATAAATCATTAAAAAAACTATATAAGTACTAAAATAAAGGGAAAAAATGATAGTTTTAAATATAAAACTATGTTATTAAATAATAAACACATAAATAAAAAACATTCTAAAAATAATTTAACCCTTGAAATAAATGTATTTTAATTATTTTACTTCTTTGAACGTTTTAATTAGGTAAAATAAAATAAAAATATAAATCTTTTCTCTTTTAATCAATAATTTAAAAATGTATCGCTTCATTTCCTTCTGCTATTCAAATATATTTTCATATTCATATATATTTTATATTCATTATGTAGTAATGTGACCTTCAGTCAATTCCTTCCTCATCTTAGTACTTTTCTTGTGAGCTTTAAAAAGTGTTTTCTTCCTTCATCATCAAGAATCTGAAGCTGTTTTTCCTCTGACACCTGATTTGTTGTTCTCTTCCTTGGTACTAAATAGTCAGTGCTGCTCTGTATTTTGCTTAAAAAAATATTTTTTTATCAGTGTTTTTTTTTCTCTACATTTTGTGACCAGCCTTCACTCTACTGTTCATTAACTATTTTTTTTAGCTAAAAAAAAAAACTACTTCCTCCCCCAAAAAACAGAGAGACAACAACAAACCCAGACAATCTGTTATCAAATGTTAACTCTTTATTTGAATAAGTAAAAAAAGGTGCAGGTATCACAGGTATCATTTGTCTTGATGTCGTCCTCGTTGGATGAAGTTTTCCTTTTTTCTTCTAAAACACTGTATATTTACAGGTGGAATATGGTTTGTTCCCAAACTGTGGGGTGGTTTTGGAGTCATGTACAGAATCAGAGCCTAAACTGGTGATTAAACATTTATTAAAGTGCTTCTTTTTTTTTTCCTCTTATATCATTGCAACACAAAAACATCTTTACATAGCAGTACACTGTACAGGTCGGCATGTGTGTGTCGTTGTGTGACGGGCTAGCTCCGCTAACGTCTGCACATTAGCGCAGCGGCTGTGGATCACGGGGAGTCGTGAAGTACAATTAGTTCATTACTTTGTCTTTGAAATACAATCAAAACTTGACATATCATACAAATAAATAGTAGTCATAGCCAGAGCTACTGCATGCAAACATCAGCATTAAGTTTCTTCAAGCAGTAATACGATTCATTACTGGTGATGCATTTGAGCGGGGTGCAAAAAGTACCTCTTAGTGTTTCCTTACACAGTTTCTAACCAGTGTGTTGTTGCTGCTCTCCATGAAATGTTTCGACAGTGATGCACATACACGACGATGACTGGGGATTGGCTGAAATGTCTCACCCGTGTGTTAAAAAAAAAAAAAAAAAAAAGAAATTGAAAGTGAAAGTAAAAGACAGTACTTTTTTAAAAACCCTACTCCTTGTCCATTTCTACGTATTGTGAATGGTTGTCGGGGGATTTGCTGTGGGTTTTACTCAGGTGGAGTTTGACGGCGTGGTTACTGGCAAATGTCCGACAGCACAGCTTACATTTGAACTTTGAGTCAATGTCCTCGTCTGTGATGAGAGCCTCGGTGGCTCTGACACTGAGGACTTTGGACAGTTCTGGCTCCTCCACCTTCGTGTGGTGCTCTACTGGCATTTTACACATGTCTTTGATTTGGAACCCCAGATGGGATTCCAGGTGGGAAATGAACCCGGACGGCGACCTGAACTGGGAAGCGCAGTCATTGCAGTAGAAGACTGGGTGGCCCGTGTCCATGTTCTTCAGAAATTTGGTCCCCCCGGTTTTGCGCAGTTGGTATTTTACATTAGCTAACCAGTGGCTGATGGTGGTCATGGACAGTCCAGTGAACTTGGAGATGTGCATTCGTTCCTGAGGGCCGAGGTCTGCGAGCAGGTACTTCCCCTCAGAGGTCTGGAAGAGGCTGGAGGCGAACTGGGCTTGGAGGATGAGGAGATGTCGAGGATTCCAGTTCGACTGTCTACCTTTGCGCTTGTGGACCGAGTAAACCTCTGCGGACACGTCCTCGAAGCGCCGGACGTCTGATTCCAGTTTCATGGTTGGGATCCTTGAAGGGATGGAGGGTTTGGGCGTTGTGGCTTTTGGAAGAACTTTGACCATGTCAGCAATATCGGACAGGGCGTATTTCTGTGGCATCGGGGTGGAGGGCTGCAGTGGAGCTGAGCCCGATTTGCTGTGTTTAGATTTAGTCAGGTCTATGGGTTGGTCATCATTAACAAAGAGAAAGCTGTTATCGGACCTTTTTCTCGTGGCATTTCTCAGCATTAACGCCGATTTCTCACTGCTACGATTAACGTCGGCAAATATGGACTGGGTGTGAGTAGAATGTTTGTTACTGGGCTTATTTGCTTTGCCCAGGTGATTGTTCAAAACTGACTGCAGTGCACTGAGAGGGTTCATGCCAAGCATATCAGGAGTGTCGCCGGGAGCCTCTGAAGCAGCGTTGCGTCCATTGCCGGCAGAGGGGCTGGGTGTCTTGCCTCTGTCAGAGAAATCTGGGCTCGACTTCCCTTTGATCGTCTCACTCTCTTCATTCACACAGTCTGCCTCCAGCTTTGAAGAGGAAGAAGAGTCATCCTGACAATCGCTGTCATCATTCTCCAACAGATCAAACTTCAAATTCTGACTTTCTTTACCCTCGCTAATGCCAGCCTTTTCTTTTTTGATGTCCACATTTTGATGCTGTCCCTGGGGAGCATCCACTCCCACAGCACCATGGTACGATTTTCCCTTCGGGGCAATCGGCCTCAGCTTTTGGTTAAATGTTTGCTTTAGCTGAGCAGTGGGAGACGCAGAGAGGGGAGTGTTTTTGATGATGCCGGATAGCTGATAGGCAGCGTGGATGCTGGGGTAAGCACTCCAGCTCGGTGTCCCGGTTTGAGCTTTGTTAATGGCAGAGGCCACGGTGTTGGCTAACGATTTAAGAATGTCCCCTCCTCCACCTGAGTCCTGTTCAAGATCCTCCTCGCGGAGATACGGGTATTTAAAAGACCTTTTGTCTGGTTTTTGATCTTCACTCTGCTTGTCATCCCTAGCTCCTGTTTCCTCCATTTTGTCTGATGTGCCTTCCCCCTGGCTATCCCTCTCACTCACCCCGGGGGACTCAGTTTTTGGAGAAACCTTTTCTCCCTCATTGTCACTGGCAGCAGGATCAGCCAAACCCTGCATCTTCTCTATGGCCAGTGGGTCAAGCGCTAACTGTTTACCCTTTTTAGAGGCTGAGTTTGTGACTTTGATGAAGTGCCCTGTAACCATCATATGTGTGGTGAGCTGCTGGAGCGTGTCATGAGAGCTCCCACACTCCATGCATTTAAGAATCTGAGACTTGCACGTCTCAAACTGCCAAGTGTAACTGGCTCCGTTCTGATAGCCGTAGCGGCTGCTGTTAGCGTTTGAAATAGTGGCAGCTCGTTGTGCCTCAGTGAAGCCAGGCACTCCAGTCGTGGAGTCGGGGGAACACGGTCGTGTTGTTTCAAAGGCTCGTTTCTTCGCTGGATGCAACAGTTTGGGTGTGATTACTGGGATTGGCTCTTTCAAAGGCACTTTTTGGTAATGCTTAGTTTTAATCATGTGGACACTCAAATCCTGGAGCGAATCGAAAGAGTGGCCACAGAACATGCACTTGAGAACTTTTTGCGCATCCTCCTTTCCCTCCAAATCCTGCAAATTCCTTTTCCTGGATTTAGAAGAGGAGGCGGAGGAGTTACTTTCTTTGCTGTGGTTGTTGTCCTGGTAGTGTCCACTCTTGTTCATGTGGACCGTCAGCTCCACAAGAGTGTCGTAGGCTGCGCTACAGTCCTTACAGCGGAATCTGCTGGCTCCAGTGAACACAGAGGCACACGGTTTGGTGGTTTGCCTGTAGAGGTGGACGGAGCTGAACAGATTGGGTTTGGACACGGGCTTGGGTGAGAGTGTCTGCTGTAGCGTCTTGGAGAGAGCGTCCTGGTGCCAGTCGAACTCAGTCTTGGTGCTCCCGTTGGTGCTGTCACAGTTGGCTTTGCTCGTGTTTTTGGCCACTTTCAAATTCATTCCCATGCCCGTCCAATAGGAATCGGACAGAAAGTTTGCATAGGCTGCCCTCATTTTCTCCAGGCTGCTGCCCATCTCGTCTTTGAGCTTGGAGCTGCAGCTCTCCTCGTCCCTCTGGCTCTCAGGTGGCGAGGAGGTTTTGAAGTCTGAAAGTCTGTCGCTGCTGTCGCTCAGGTGCGACTCCAGCTCTGCCTCTTGATTAGAAAGCACGCTGATGGGAGAGTTCTGGTTGCTGTACGTGACGTTGCTCTTGTTGTCCAGCTCTCTGTCCTCGGACACCTTCGGGCTGGTCTTCTCGGAACACTCCTCCTCAGTCTGGGTGTCATTGTCTCCGTCTTCCTCGGTGATGGAATCCTGAAGAGCAGCGTCTTCATCAGGCATGTATATAGAAAAAGAGAGGGGGAAAAAAAAAATGAAATTTAAGAAAAAAAAAAAACAGTAAAACAACAGTTTTAATTGTGCGATAATTTAAGGCAGACATTAAAAACAACATCAACTGCTAATTATTTGTGAGCAGCCATTTAGGACAGGATAATGACAGCTGCCTGTGCCTTAGGAGGGTGAAGACTGTAGTGGAACATAATGTCTTTACTAAAAGACTGCTGCTGGTGCAACAGCACCATGTAATTCACGATGGGCCATTGACTTAGTGCTGCGTCCAAGATTTTTCTGGCCTCAAGTTGAGATGTTTACAACAATCACTGGCCGCTGAGTGACAAAAGGAAATTGATTCTTCTCAGGCCTGTTAAGTGTTATTGCAAATGACCTATTCCATAGTGATTATAGATGTCACAAAAGTCCAATGAAAATGTAAGGCGTCTGCTCTGGATAACGTCTTCTCCCCGAAGCTACGCACGAGAAATAGCTTTACACAAACTCAGCCTTCCTCGTGTCCAACATCACTCTGTCAGTGGAAATAAAAAAGCTGACTGAACAACATTAAACAACGCTTGAATATTCAGTCACAGCACATCTGGAAATGAATTCAGTTGTTAACAAAAAAAAAACCCAAAACAACACAACCGTGGATATCGATGGAGACGATGATCACGACGCTTGAAAAAAACGGATTCAATTAGAAGAGTTGAAACTAAATAATTATATAAAAAAAGGCCCAAAGATTACCAGCAATTTGTCACGTCATTATGTTTTCTCTGACAGTCTCATAAACAGCAATTACGTCTTCCATCATTCACCTGTTCACGCTCCCAACTCGTAGAGAACCAACGCTATCGCTTCAATTAACAGTTAATTAAACAACAGTGGTTTTAATTGACACATTTCCCATCATACATTTAAGGGGAGGGGGCCGGTCTGACTCAGCATAAAGGGGCTGGTGTGGCTGCAGGGCGACAGCAGCATCACAAGACAAAGATTAAAATGTCTGTTGTGACAAAACCAATGCAGATTATTTCAAATCCACCTACGGAGCGACCGCTGGCGTATATTCTCCGGACGTCTCGGGAATAAATTCAGTTTGTCAGCGTTGTCACAAATCTGAAATATTTTCCACCTCGTAGACACGCTGAAAATGTGCATTTGGGGGAAAGACATGGCAGATGTTCCTGGAGTTAAATATGAATAGGACATAACAGCCCTGTCCAGGCACTTACGCTCTTCATGTGGTTACTATTTCTACTCCTGAAGCCGTACGCCTGGGAGAACCACACTGAGAAGTTCCACTAGAATGTCTTTACTTCTCTGCTTTCTGAAAGTACGACTTTTTTTTTTTTTATTATCAATATTTCAAAAGTGCCTCAAGAGAAGCCCTGGAGGTGAACTGCTTGGCAGCTAATGGATGGAGATGGAGATGGGATTCGGACTTTCAAAACAAACACGGGCAATGGGGCCTTGTGAACAAGAGCCTGTGTGTGCACACACACACAGAGATGTAGAAAAACACACACACACACACATGCCCTAGTGTGCTGTGACCTTGATCCACCATGAGAGAGGTGTTTTGATTGGCCAAGTGAGAACAGTGATGGCTTCCAAAACACCCTTGATGCTAAGGGAGAGAGTTGTCAAGAGCACAGAGGTATGTTTTATTTATAGTCTTATGTATTCACAATGAAGGAGAACACCAGTGGCTATGACAGGCTCCCAGTTGATGTCCACTCGCTTCAAAGTCATCGCTTAAGCTGAAGGACTGGCGAGAAGCTGCACCAAAGTGGGCAGATGAGCATTTTTCCAGTCCAGCGACGGTTTAATAGAAATGCATTCATTCCTGGTCCGAGACTCTGGTGTGAATGCTGCTCCCTGAATGTTTCATGGTCATGAAAGTCCACAAATATCTGCCATTTGGTGTGACCAAGTATTATAAAAATGCTTCCTGGAACATGGGCACGATTTTAAATGCAAAAGGGATATTTGTATAACTCGGTCAAACTAGGAATAATCTCACAAAAGAGGGAAAAACTCTGTGTTGTCGGTGACTTGAAGTGATTGAGATTTCATTATTTTTCGGTTTTCCATTTGAAATTTGAATTTCAAAAATTTAAATTACATTAAATCGCATTAAAGTTATTTAAATCAGACACATTTCAAAGACTTTCTACCACAACATTTTTTTTGACTTGACACTCATCTGTGTCTGAGCCCCGTTACTTTATATCGACCACTGCCTTCACTTGTCTTTCCATCTTTGGCATTTCTGCCGTTGACTAGACAATGACTAGATTGCCAAGGCATTTGTTGCTGATTTTGCGAGGTCTTTTGAAAATAAAAATAATTTCAAGTGAATTCTTGAAATTCTGTCCTTGGTCGTTCTCTGCACATTTGATGCAGATTCTTAATTTTTGTCTTTTCTTGGTTCTGTTTTTTTGGAGCTGGCAGAGATTAACAGCTGCCCTTCATGATGTTCCTCATGTTCTGAGCCTTTCTATCTGATGCCCCGACTCACAGACATCCACAGGCACCAATTAACCTTCTGGCAAGGATCACTGCGAGATACCCACATGTCTAACTTTGCGTCTCACACATCTCCACTTTTCCAGCTCTTGGTCTACCACGGCGCGGCGGCTGTCATGCCAACCTGCATCGCTCTTTAATACCGGGGAAGATTTAAGGCCAGATCATTACAGAGTGACACAGAAGAATTCAGAGGAAACTGCCAAAACGCGTCATAAATCGGCACAATTTAGGGAACGTCTGTCTGAGCAAAACAAAAGTGAGGAAGAGGAACTGCTCGCACAGGAAAGGGCTGCTTTGAAGACGCCGTGGGCGACTCCGAGCGCAAGGCCTCACCCGGTCCAAACTAGCCTCACAAAACAAGAGGCTGGCATGACTGGGTGGAGATTTAGCATGTCATAAAGTGTTGTAAAGCCTCCAATCTGTGTCACTACAAATTTATATCTTCAGACAGAGATATGCAAAGGTCAAAAAACCCGAGGTGTCCATCATAAATCAGACGCTTGAAGTGTTTATAACCTTTATCCGTTAGAACAGACTCTTGGCAAAGCGAGGCCTGGATTTACAGAAGCAGCAGTTTGTTTCCGAGCCAAAAGTCTTTTTTTTTAATACATCTAAAAAAATAAAAAAAAATGAAAAAAACCCCGTCTTTTTTTTTAATACATCTAAAAAAAAAGAAATAAAAAAACCCTAACCACACGGGAAACAGTACATTATATTTACTGCTACATTCGTGGCAGCACGCAGCCCGACTTAGTGCTGACATGACAGTGCGTCTAAAGGAGAAAGTTGTGTCAGACCTCAAGACCCCGCTGTTTTTAAATCTCAACTTTCGGCAGTGACGTCTTCATCGAGCACAATTCCCTCCTCCGCTTACGAGTCAGTCTCCTTGGAACGTGTCAATCATTTCAGAAATGCGGGTGCTAGCGGTAAAAGGGCATTCTATTTCCAATATCAACATGCCAGCAGAAACTTCTGTGGTGGTGAGAACATCAACATTTATCCCTCGGAAGGTCAACACTTCCTTCATTAATCTGACAAGCCTCAGAGAGTTAGCAGCCTGAGAAGCTTAGCTAATGGACAGCTGCAATACCCCAGCGCGGGGCCGAGAGAGTATCCGCGGTAACACTATCTTCAGAGAAGATTGGGTAATTCATAGGTGCCAGTGACAGGTCTGCACGTCTGTGCCACTTTCCCCAGTGCTCTCCGCTTGTCTCAAGCTACAGTTTTTGCTGCGTGCGAATCAATATCTCTTTTTACTTCCCATTGATTGCCCAGCGGTGGGACCGACCTAAGCAGGACTGTTATGACATTTCTAGATTTCCCCCTGTCCTTGGAACAATCAATTACACACGCATGGCAATCAAAAGCCCTGTGCAAAGTGAACCCACTTCATGACATTTTCATCTACCGGATTTATGCTATGAAGGAAAAAAATAAATAAAATAAAATAAAGACCAAGAGATAAAGGAGAGGCCTGCAGCACGGACACCGACCATGACGACGTTATCGCCTGTTTCCGCCTTTTTGTTTTTATTCATAAACTCCGCACAAAGTAATGAATTGTTTTGCATTTATTAACTGTGTTTGTCTGTTGTTGAAACTATGTTGTAAAATGTCAATCAAAAAAGTACTTCTTTTTTTTTTTTGAGCCCTGAATTTTTGGAAACAGGAAGGTGGGCTGATAAAAGCCACCATGATGTGATTACTTCAGAAAGATATCATTAGGATGAAACACACACGCGCGCGCCACACAGATTAGTGTTTGACAGTGATAAGTGGATGAGTCGCTGAACAAGCTACTGATGCATTGTCACATTTCCTGATTCTGGTTCTAACGACACGTCTGAAGTTAATTCCGAAGTGAATCACATGAGGAATGGTGAGCAGCCACGGTAACTCTGAGGCCTGGAGCCATCTGTAAGGATGTGTAAACACCTCACTCCTCACTGTTCCCCGTCAGGAAACAGTCTCCCTGAGCTCAAGGTCGCTGCAGAGTGAGTAGAGAACAATCACACCCAGTCTGCATAGTTTGACGAATTTGGTGGGGGCGGGGGAGGGAGTGGAAGGGTGGGGTTAATTGATATGGTGGAATGAAAGAGTTTCCGACTTGCTTTCAAACAGGAATGTGAAATCAGTTCCCTTCTGACCAATTATTTCAATCCAACACTCAGGTGTTAAAGAGACTTTCAACAAACCGGAACGTTGTTTCAATGCCTGAATCTTTAGCTTGTTTTACAGACAAAAAATTGATACATGAACTCCAAACACTCCAGCTTGTTCGAAACCAACAGCAAAACACCAAAGGTCAAAGGTTTTGGCGTCAAGATTTCATTTAAAAGGGTCGTCTGCCAACGGCTCCGTCGTAGACTTCAAGCCTCGAAGAGTGTTGTGAAAGAAACAATGGTTCCCTAATGAACTCAAGGAAATATTGTTGCTTAAAATGACTCCAAAAACTCAATCAAAAACACTCCGT